TGCGGTTAAATTACAGGGCCCTTTCCAGGCCCTAAAACGTGGGGCTTATCTTTTTTGGAGCGTTCGACGACCGGTCACCGCTCCTTTGGCGCTGAATGCGCCGTTAGGACATGTGTGATTTCCATTGGCTCCAGTGAGGCTTCGGACACCCGTTCCAGCGAGCAAGTCTCGCGTGAAAGCCTCGCCACAGAAGACAAAGTTCTCACACTCCTCAGCCCGGAGGCTGACGGAGCTGCCTTTGAATCCAGGCTGCGCTGGCCATTGCCAGTGCCAGCAGAGATCGAGGACAGTGAGGCAGCCTTGGCTGCGCCCACCGTGACAGGTGGTGATGGTCCTGCGCTATCTGTTCGCACAGCGCAGGCTTTCACCGATAGTTGCTGTTGTGCCAGCAACCCTAGGGTAGCGGGGCTTTCCTGCTGGGTGGGTGGAGCAGTGCTAGTTGCGTCCGCCACGGTGCACCGCAGCAGCATAAGATGTGTCCTAAAAAGGTGCACACCATCTTCTTGCTTCCCTAAATGAAATTTTTTCCTTGTGTTTGAGGGCAATAATTTCCATTTCCGTTTGCCATGTAGGGCATGCTCTAGAATATGCGGCGTGCTCGCCATCGCACTTTGGGCAGTGGAGCAGATTGTCACAGTTGTCAGAGGAATGTTCGTGATTTCCACACTTGGAGCAGGTAAGTCGAGCTTTAAACCTTTGTAAAGCGTTGGCACTTGAAACACCTACGTGGATTTGGTATATATAGGGTCTGAAGAGAATATGGCGGGACAGTGGAAGCGAAGGTAATGATCAAAAATTTTGAGGCAGTTTTCTCTGTTCTCCCGTTTGATCCTAATTCTTTGTACGTAGATTACATCCTGGTCCTTCTATCCTTCAAGCAGCTCTTCCTCACTGAGGTTTAGGAAGTCGTTATCGGAAATCACTCCTTGGACTGTGGTCATTCATTGATGTGGGTCACTGTGATTGCAAACGTGCCAAATGCAACAAGGTCTGAAAGTTTTCTGTACTGCTCACTGTCATGCACTTCAAGCAATAGGTCTTCGCCAGTCATTTTAGTGGCTTTATACCCTGGTCCTATTGTGTCAGCAAGACACTTTGCAACAAGGAATGGAGAGATAGTTCTGACGATTTTTCCCGTATCTGTGCAGTGTACGACATGAAAGCGGAGAAAATTTTCTTTAGGCTTAACAAAAAAAGTTGTGCATTTCCTCAGTGCATCTACAAGATGATCAGGGAGTTTCGGAAAGGCATTTACAGTCATAAATGTATGATTTTACTCAGTGGCCACACCAGCTGCCCACCCCTGAGCTTAACATGGGGGCGCTGTGACACCTTATGAGAGCACAGACGCCATCTGCACGTGGCCACTATAACCTAATATATAACGGCCAAAGAAGGACATATACACAAGGTTAACTCTCGCCGCCAGGTAAAACGGAAGCAGAAGAGAGTAGTAGACAGGAAAGATATAAAGTATGAGCCAAAGACGAAGATGCATGGAGGTAGAAACAGGAAAGGACGACTGCCGATTTCCCCTGTGTGGGTCAGCCCTAGGGTGCCGTCTACATAAAGCCAGGGTCAAAGGGGTGTGTTGCCTTTGCCCGGGGTGGGCGTAAGGGTCCAATCACCCAGCGTAGGCTTAACCCCAAGGATCCCCTTTTCCTCGAACACGGCTCAGCCATGCACGGCTAGGCATGGAAGAGGTCGCAACCACCGTTATCTCGGGTCCGTGGTGTCACCACACATCAAACACCTGCTTGCATAGCAGGTACTACTTCCCCTGTGGGGAAGCAGTACGCGACGCTGTGAAAAGTTGTCATGACTACATGTGTAATTTTTGCAATTTGTTACTTGCATGAATTACTGAAAGTTCAAATATTCAAACAGACCAACGAAATCTGCACACGTTCTAATATCTTTTTTTTTCTGCAAATCCAGGGAGAGGCGAGACTAGGTCCTTCGTGTTTTCGCGACGTGCCAGCGCAAAAACGCTTGGCATATTTTTGGCGCATTGCTCCTTACAACAATATCAGTGGTGTGATACCATGTATCGTGGTAAGGATAGATTATTCGTGCCAGCCACTCCAATCATGCCGGTCCATCCCGCGGAAACAGGAAGTACATTGTAGACAAAGCCTAAACGACACTAGACACCGTGCGTGAACAACCTGGCTTTGGCATGTCATGCGCATGTACACTAGTGTGTGCATAACACATTGTACGTACAATACACACAAGCATTTCATGTTTTGGTTTGCGATTCGAAGTGCCAAATCACTTGCACTTCAATGGCCCCTAAACCACTCAAAGGTCATAATGCAGTTGTGGAGGGGAAGCTGTGCGCAAGTCTACAATGAACACAGAGCCGTGAGAATTGTTCAAAATGGTGCCATAATAGCGAAGTTAGACGCGTTTGATTACTGCAATGTGACAATCACTTCTTTTGCTCTTTCTTATGCTACCTTTTCCTGGAATCCTTTCCTAAAGCCGTTTTGCCCTCTCGACGAGCGCCACTCTTTATCACGCATGGCATGCAGGCACACATGCTGTCTGTGCGTGGCTAGGAGAATCTGTGCTGCAGGGAAGTGGCACATGCAGGCAACACAACGAACAGCAAGAAGTGCGACAGCTGCTTGCAGCCTAACCGGAAATCTTAGGTTTCTGCTCGACAAATCACAGCAAGATTTGCAGCACGGGTCAGCGATTCAACTTGTCGACATGACACAGAGGTCAGAAAGGCATGGAAAAAAGGAGGAATTGCTCCTTTCGCTTTCCTTTGCTACAATTCTCTGGTATCCTCTCCCCAAGCTGTTCTGCCCTCTTGCCAAGCGCTCTACCCATCTCACGTGGACTGCAGATGCACGTGCTGTCTGTGCGCAGTTAGGAGAACGTGCACTACAGAGAGGTGGCACACGCAGGCAACACGACGAACAGTGAGGAGTGCGACAGCTGCTTGCAGCCTAACCAGAAGTCGTAGGTTATTGCTCGACCTATTGCAGCACAATTCCCACTACGAGTCAGAGATTTAACTTGTCGACATCACACAGAGGCCAAAAAGGCCTGGAAAAAAAGAGGAATTGCTCCTTTCGCACTTTCCTTTGCTACACTCCCCTGGTATCTTCTCCCCAAGCCGTTCTGCCCTCTTGCCGAGCGCTCTACGCATCTCACGTGGCCTGCAGATGCACGTGCTGTCTGTGTGCGGCTAGAACAGCGTGCACTGCAGAGAGGTGGCACATGCAGGCAACACGACGAACAGTGAGGAGTGTGACAGCTGCTTGCAGCCTAACCAGAAGTCGAAGGTTATTGCTCGACTTATTGCAGCACGATTCCCACTATGAGTCAGAGATTCAACTTGACATCACACAAAGGCAAAAAAGCCCTGGAAAGAAAGAGGAATTGTTTCTCGGAATTTGTTGTGCATTGGCAGCTCCTAGTGTTGCCACGTGTGGCTAGTTGATCGTGACAGCATTCTGCCCACAGTGCGCGTGTTTACTTGAAATGTTTGAAAAAAATATTGGAGGTGGTTTAAGGGCCTTTTCAAGCACAGTTAGTCTCAAGTGCGCTCATGCTAGGCAGTGTGATTCAGGAGAGAGACTTCACATGTGTGCAAGTGGCACAGTAATATTTACATACTGTTTGTGATTCAAGGACAGATGGCAGCACTGTGCACAAATAGCAAGATTTCCTAGCCTGACAGAAGATGGAGAACAGGATCCATTTTTCATGGAAGCTGCACACTGAATGGCATGGCAACTCGTAACAAAACAACACTATCAAATTGAAATATTTTAGACGAAGGCAGCTGCCCCAAAACAGAATAGGAAAGAGAAGGCAGAAGTTGCGTCTCTCTACTCGTTTACTGCACTGGAGAGCATCACCATCCACAATGGAAGACCTAAAACCACAGCTGAAAACAAAAACTTTCTCGAAAGCAGATTGCTTATTCATGCCTGTGAATATTTAGTCATGTTAATACCAGATACAACAGTGCAAGTTTGACAGCTCATAATAATTTACCAGTAATTGCATCAATGCTTTGTGCAGTGGGAGAAATAGCACTATCTAAATCAAACCTAGCAGACATTGTCTGATATATTCAGTTTACTAAAAGTGCTTCAAAATGTGCAATCTGTATTGGGCTACTATGTATCCCCCAGTCAAGCTGGCACAGAACAAAGTTCTTGTGCACAAGCTAAGCTTGTAGCGCAGCCAGACTTGACCATGACAGCGGTGCATCATTGTTTCTGCTGCAATCTGTGTATACAGTAGGAAAATTATAGACATGCAGGTACCACAACCACTATAAGGTGCCAGCACATGCTGGCCTGTGGTTCATTTGAACTGAAAGTGGGAGCTAAGATGTTCAGGAAAGCAAAAAGGAAAAAAAAGTGAAAAAATGCTCAAAGCCAAGACACGGCGCGACTTCATTTCTACCCCCTTTGTCATTCTCCGCAGTGTCCATTTTAGGGCATTCATTGGGATGAAAAAAAAAACGATCAGAACCTGAAATGACCTCATTAACGAATTCAAAAAACGTCTGTGGCACGAGATTCGTGAGGTGATGAAATCCATTGGTGAAGTCATTAGACAAATACTTCAAAGGTTGCAAGGCTCCTTATAAAATTATGACACTACTCTTCGGATAACTACTTCTGGTATAAACCCAAAATTTTTTTCTGAATGGAGGACCACTTGAGAGGGTGCCATTTTTTCGCATGCATTCTGCCAGTATCTGTTTAGTTCGAAGGGTAGTAAATTTAAAATAAGCTGATTCTTTTAATGTATCACTGAACACACTAAGCCCTACAATATTCTGGGGTCTATTAGCCACGAAAATAAATTGATTACCTCAAAAGCTTGCGAAACTTAACGAGAACATATACTTGTACCGCCTTTTATAGTGCACACAATGAGCCAAACGCAGGCTTCACAGACAATACCAAGCACACAACTAATTAACACTTATTTTGTGTCATTGCTTAAGCCCAAATGTGACCTACCTTCATAGTGGAACTTTTTGTCTCGCTCACGGCCCGTGCTAGCATGCCTCTGTTCCAAATAGCATATTCCGCCAAACTGCAACAGCTTTTTTTTTTCAAATCTGCTTTTCTGAATGTAGGCAGATTCAGCATCGTCGCTATTGAAGTTCACCTCTTTAAAACTCAACTTTTTTATTACTTTCTTCAATTTCTGTAAAGAGAAATGCAGCTGCAATCAGTCTTGGCATGCCAATAGCAAGAAGCTTTGACAGACAGCACCAAGTTTTCTCGACATACTAAAGTAAATATTAGCATGTATTTACACATTCTTCCTGTGTCACAGACAAGTGTGGTGATGGTATCAATCAAGAATGTTCACACCCACTACAGATTCTGAAAACTACTGCACCAGTGCGTGCCCATGTGCACTAAATTCAACGTAAGTGGAAAGGAGGTTATCGTATTTACTCTATTCTACCGCGCCCTCAACTGTAACGCGCACCCGATTTCCACGATGAAAAAAAAAAGTAAGACATCGATTGCAACGCACACCCATTTTGCTCGTTGGCCCGCACGATCACACTACTCGGGAAAACGACTCCTTTTGGAAGCGTCTTCTGTTTAAATATAAGGTACGGGGGAAGCTTGTGCCCATCTGACGTGCAACAGAGCATTGCCGTCACTAGTTTTACCGTGGCCCGATGTCAGCACGCAAAACAAATCCCTAACCTTAATCGCAGCCTGCCTGAAGGTCTAGGGATCATCTAGACCACGAATGTCAGGACTGTGAGTACGGTTTGGGACATTATAAGGCTATTTTGTTGTCTGACTGCGTCTCCCGACCAGCAAAGCCTAACGCTAGCGGTTGAACAAAACGCGGCGGCTCGGCAGTGTACCCCCCAGGCCGACCGCTCACGGCGTTTTAGCAGTCAAGAGGCCCTTGTGGAGACGGCGGCCTAGGAAGGTGAAGTGGAGGGTACGGAATGAAAACACCTGAAGAATGTAGAACCGCTGACTGAATCACACGAACGTTGGAAAACATAGTTTTAAAGAGCTGCGTGACTCCGCTAGAGGTGAAAGACAGGGGCGTCAAGATGGCAACGCCCGGGCAGAAAGTGGAGCCGAGCCCGGCGAAGACAGGAAGAAGACGGCGGCTGCGAACGCAGCATACAAAAAGCTGGGGCACAAGATCGCGGAGCACTCGATTGCGTCGTACCTACCGCGGTTGCCGGCCAACGACTACAAGATAATCATTCGTCCGAAGTGCGGGCTGGCGCTCACAAAAATTCCGAACACCAGGCTCAGTGAGACGGTGCGTACGACAGCGCAAATTCCGTGGATTAAGGGACAAGAAAAGGAAGTGTTCATTGTTAACGACAAGCAAGGCACCCCGATTTTCAGCACTCCAGACATAGACACTGTCTGGAAGGTGACCAGGATTAAGTCTTGATTATCAAGATTGAAGGCAAGAACTACGACGTCACGGCGTACCGCGCATCGCACGAGGATAGCGGGCGGGGTGTGGTGCGCGGCATCGACCCGAGATTGTCAGTAGAGGAACTGACAGAGGCTTTCGGCAACTCAAGGAACCCGCCGATACTTGGTGTTAGGAAGCTGGGGAACTCAAGTTCAGCGGTCATCTTCAAAAATGAGACAGTGCCCAGGTGGATGTACTGTTACGGCGTACCACTGAAGTGCGTGCTTTATAAGAAACGATACGAGGTGTGCTACCGATGTGGCCAGCTAGGACACAGATCGGACGTGTGTATCAGCGACCATGTTCGCTGCCGGGGATGCGGAACGACAGCTCCACCCGAGGACCATGCATGTGAGCCCAAGTGTAAGCTGTGCGGCAAAGGTCATCTGACAGCAGATCGGAAATGCAAGGAAGCTTTCAGGACCCCTTATACAATAAAGAAGAGACAGTGGGAGGCCTGGCGGCGAATGGAAGGAGAAGAGCGGAAGGCGAAGGACGCCGATCCACAAACGTGCAGAATAAGAGATCAAAGAACGGTCCAAGAGCCGGTCGAAGCATCGGAGAGGGTCAAGAGGAAGAACAGGTTCCTTCCCAAGACTACCGCAAAGACAGGAACGAGAGCTGCCACCAATGACTGGTCCAGTAAACGAGGGGACTTCCGGCAGTGCTGTCCTCAACAGTGGGAGACCCACGTCGCCGAACCGCAAGGTGGGTTAAGGAGATAGGGCCTCCCAGGATAATCGCGATGAAATGTTAACCATTAAGGAAGAAAATCGCATGCTTAAAGAGCAGCTAGCGATGATGAGTCGGCAAATAGAGGAGCTTCAAATAGCTATTAAGTCGTCTAACATAACACCGGTTTCCTTACCACAAATGCCAAAGAATCAAAATATAAAAAGGCCGGAGGAGCAGAGCGCTACTCCGCCTCTAGCGAAAGAGAGGGCAAAAGAAGCGGAAAAGCCCGTAATAGATGAGAACGTAAAAACAGTGATAGACATGAAAATAGCACAACTGGAGGCAAACATTGAAGCCAAATCTACCCAGGACGATGAATGGCGTAAGGCCTTCGAGAAACGAATGTTCGAGATGTTTCAAAATCTGACACAGCAGTTGCATCAGCGGGATAATAAACTTACCGAGGAACTTAAAACAGAATTCGCGAAGAGGGATCGGGCGTGTGAACAGCTCGCCCAAGAAGTATTAGGCAGACCGATGAATCACCTTAGTGGCAATCATGGCTCACAGATTCAGTAAGAACACCGTTTGGCAATGGAACTGCAGAGGCTTCACGCGCAAGCGTGTGGTTCTGCAGGAATTCCTGAGGAAAGGGGATCGACCAGATGTTATAGCTTTACAGGAATGTGGGAGAAAGGCGACATTGTGGGGTTATAAATCCTAAGTAAGCGAAGGCACGAGTACGCAGGTGGCCACCCTGGTCAGGCGAAACGTTACGGCGGTGCAGCATGACATTGGTAATGCACACATCGACCATGTTCTCATAGAACTAATACCCCAAAGAAAGAAACACGCTAGCTTGTTCGTATTAAATATATACAGCTCTCCCAGACAAAGGCGATGCGACTTTGGGGATCTTTTCGCTTCTACGCGACGTAAGAGTAAGAACAACCCATTGCTGATCGTCGGTGACTTTAACGCTCACCACACGGCATGGGGATATAAGCAGGCTTCAATTAAGGGCAGGAAATTGTGGGATGACATGCAAACTCATAATCTGGATTTATTAACCGACCTGTTGCAGCCAACGAGGAAGGAAAATAGTGTCGCGGTTGACACCACACCCGACCTTACTCTGAGAGGAGCGGCACTAGTGCCACGTGGTGCAACACAAACGAGGACCTAGGCAGTGATCACATGATCATAGAAATAGTGGTAGAGGGAGGCCCGGCAACACCTCGGAAACGAAGGGTAGAGGCCGTAAATTGGGACCCTTTCAGGGACCTCAGGGGTAACCCGACTCCCATTTCCGACATTCCCGAGTGGTGCGATGGGGTGTTACGTACTGTTAAGGAAGCCACTGAAGTGGTGGAAACCGAGGAGGACAACGAAGTGGTAGACACGAGATTAGTAAATCTTTGGAAGAAAAAGAAAGCGTTGGAAAACCGACTCCAACAGAGGAGATGGGATCGGAGTATCAGGAAACAAATAGCGGCTTTAAACAGGCAAATTGGAGAACACGCCATCACGCCCACGAAGCAAAGGTGGCGGAACGTCTGTCAGGAGATGGATAGGAATATAAGTACATCCGGGACGTGGCGGCTTCTTCGTCACCTTTTAGATCTGGAGAGCACGAAGACAGCGTCTAAACAGCAATTGGAACGGATGGCGCACCAATTTGAAGGCACTAGGAAGGAACTCTTAGAAGAAGTTCGGAGCAGATACATAAATCCCGCCGGATCCGAACCTCTCCCAGATTATGGAGGACGGGAAAACGCAGCCTTAGACGCCCCTATCTCCCTGGCTGAGGTGCGAGCGGAGATTAATCGGCTAAGGACTAGATCACCGGCAGGGCCAGACAGAGTGACTAACAAAATGCTCCGTAATTTAGACGATAGGTCTATCGCTAACCTAGCAATGTACATGCAGGAGTGTTGGGAAAAAGGGACGATACCGCAGGAGTGGAAACTCGAAAATGTAATTTTCATTCCTAAACCGGGTAAAAAACTCCGTTTCGAGAATCTTAGGCCGATATCGTTAACGTCTTGCGTAGATAAGCTCATGGAGCATGTCGTTCAGACGCGGCTCAACAGGTACATGGAAGACAATGGTATGTATCCGGACACCATGATCGGTTTTCGACCCCGACTATCAGCGTGCGACGTGATGCTACAGCTCAAGGACCAAATTATAGACAAGCCAAGGCGAGACACAAAAGTTATCGTGGGGTTAGATGTGGCAAAAGCATTTGACAACATGAGGCACGTATCGATCTTGGGAAATCTGAGCTCCCTGAACGTCGGAAAGCGAGTTTATGACTACGTCAAGGACTTCCTTTCGAACAGGACAGCCACTTTAAAAATCGGGGAAGAATCTATCGAGGACATTAAATTAGGCAACAGGGGGACACCTCAGGGCTCAATGTTATCACCCACCCTTTTCAACATTGTGATGTTGAAACTGCCTGAACAGTTAAAGAATATTGAGAATTTAAATCACACCATTTACGCGGATGACATAACATTATGGATGAACAAGGGCAGTGACGGCCAAATTGAAGGCTCTCTGCAAATCGCCATTGATAAAATCGTGGAGTACCTGGAGCCCAAAGGACTTAAATGCTCGGCCAAAAAGTCGGAAGCACTCTTCCTCATGCCCGCCGGAAAATGGCGGCTCCACAACAGGCCTGAAGTGGACATCCACTTGTATGTTAACGGCACAGAGATCCCCACGGTCGACAGTATCCGTGTTCTTGGACTAAGGATTCAGGCGAACCGTAAGAATTCTGAAACTCTTGCTAGGTTGAAAGCCAGTTCTAATCAGACATGTAGTCTCATCAGACGAATCGCAAACAGGCATGCTGGGATGAAGAAGACGAACCTTCTTAGATTAGTGCAGACCTTCATAATAAGTAGGATAGTGTACGTGGCACCTTATTTAAAATTAAACCAAGCGGAGCGGGGCAAACTCGACACCATTATAAGGAAAAGTGTGAAAGTCGCGCTCGGACTTCCCCCAAACACGTCAACTGACAGACTTATGAAGTTGGGGGTATCTAG